TATTTTGTCACCTCTATACCCATTTTATCTGTGTGAAAACAGAGGCACAGTGATCTGAAATCCCCTGCCTGGATACCACAAAGCTAATCATGACAGAGATAAGACTATTACCCTTGTCTTCTGACTCCAAGTTCACTTTGCACCACCTGACTTTGCTGCTGCCAGAAATATCCTAGGCAATGTTGCCTGTCCCCTGAAGTTGCAGAGGTAAAGTCTGAGCTTGTAGCAGGAGTTACACACACAGGAGACCTCAGGCATGCTTTCTTGGCCAGAAGTGCTTTTCTTTTTTTTTTTTTTTTTGGTACTGGGAATCGAACTCAGGACCTTGCCAGAAGTGCTTTAAAAGTGTAGATCTGAAAGATCTTAGGCAGAGCCAAAGACATCGTCCCAGGTCCCTGTTGTGCTATTGGACTGGTTCACTTGCATATATTTTCCACCTAGCTCTAGAATTTGACCTGCACATGGGTATCTGGACATAAAGCCCATTCCACATTCATGGAGAAAGGCACACCAAAGAAGTGTGATCTCCCCTTCACTTTTGACATGCATTAATACTATGTGCAAGACAGTCTTTTAGGCACCAGGTAGATATGAAGGTGAATGTGTGGCCCTTTTCCTCCATCAAAGTACTCCGCTGCACAAAACAGACACGGTAGTCACATTTAAGCCGATGATGATGATGTGGGAGGAGGGATGCTAGAGAACTAGGGCGGCCTCGGGACCTGGGGAAGGTACAGGTGAAAGTGGGTGAAGGATGCTAAGAGGGAAGAGGAGAGGACACCAAAACACCATTAGCTTTATTGCCTGCATGCCTTAGAGACCTAAGAGAATAGGCTCCTCTGCTCCCAGCCACCAGGACGTCCATCTGACCTAAGGCTCTGCATGGCTGTCTTCTCCCAGGAAATGCGTGGATCTCTCAGGTCAAAAGCAGTGCTTCAGCCTCCAGGGCAAGCATTCTACTTCAGTGTCTGTGCTCAGCGGAGCACCTGCCTGCTCTGGATTAACAACAGGGAAACAGAGAGAGACATTGCCAGATTTCCACCTGAACACAGGAACGGAGGGCCCTCCACAGCGAGAGTGTCAGGAAAGGTGGAAGAGCACACACACAGTTGTAGCCAGGACAAAGGAAAGCCAGGGCAGTTTTGTTCTCAGAACTCTAAGAGATCACATAAGGCCAGTCTCCAATCCAGGGCCTGTCTTGGCTTTGCACTGACATCAGGGGTTGATCCAGTGGGAGGGCCCTGTGGCGGGAATTTCTTATGTTTCTCAAGGAGCCTCAAACCAGAGGTGTTTCAGAAATAATGCATTCCAAAAAATAAAGGTTAAAGTTTACAAATAACTCATTCAATTAGATCAGTAAATTATTTTAATGATAGATAGCATTCATTCACTTACTCATTGACCATTCATTCATTTCATAAATGTTAAACTCTGTGTGCACTGTAATACTCACTATTAATAATTGTGCTTTCAAGAATAGTTTTATTGAGATATAATGCACATGCCACACAATTAACTCACACTTAACTCAAAGTTAGGTAACATCACAAAAAGTAATCTTAGAACATTTTATCACCCTTAAAAAAGCTCCATACTCTTTAACTATCACTCCCCTATCCTTCCATCACCCCTTCCTAGACCTAAGAAACCCCTAACCTACTTTCCATCCCTATAGACTTGCTTATTCTGAACTTTCATATGAATGGAACATATAGTATATGGTTTTTTGTGGCTTCTTTCAATTAGCATAATGTTCTTAAGGTTCATCCATGTTGCAGCATACCTACATACTTCACTCTTTTTTAAGGCCAGACAATATCACATTATATGAGGAGATCATACTTTGCGTATCCATTGGTTGGTGGATGGCTTTAATGTGTTCCAGAATGGCAAAGAAAGGGGCTAAGAGCGCACCCTAGGGGTTGTACATAACTCAGGCATACCATATGTACTTTGTACCTGTATGCACTATGGTGAAACAAAGTTGAAAAAAATCGATTAAAGGCTGATGGACACTTTCTGCACCAGCTCATATTTTCAGAAGCCCTGGCCTTCTGGGGCCTAGGGCTGAGCCTGTCACCCACAGGCTGAGTGTACATCTTGAACAGGTTCCCCGTCCAGACCCTGCTCCACAATTAACATTGAGTCATCATTTTTCAAGGCTTCTCCCTACTGAAGTTTGAAAACTTCTTTATAAAGCTCACATGCACATCCCACACCACCTCTCCATCATATTGCATTCCAGTGCCTAGCACCGTTTCCTGCTCCTGTTCTTTGTCCCAATAAGAGAAGCTCTCTTCCCTCCTGATTTTTATTATTCCCTCGTCTCATCTACAGAGGAGCTGATAAGCTCATTTCCTTTAATGTGTAAAGGCTCAGTAGTAGCCTATAGGGTCTTGCCTGGAGTTCTTTCTGGTCAAATGTAAGGGTATCTTAGATCAGCAAGATGGTATTTGGAAGCTTTATGAAACTGGGAAGAAACTCAGGTCCTTTCATCCCAACTGCTTTGACAGATGAGGAGCCTGAAGCTCAGAGAAAAAGAGGAATTTTCCCAAGGACTCACAACTGGTTAATGACTACATCAGCTAGTTATCACTGCTTAGACATTCACCCCAAAACTTAGTGCCTAAAAGTAAGCACCATCTATTTAGTTCACCATTTGTAGACTGGGAATTCAGGCTGGTCTCAGCTGGGATCACACATGCAATCTGTGGCCACCTGCAGGTCAGAAAGGTGGCTCTCTTTCTGGGATTGACTGACTGTCAGTTAGGCTATGGGGACAATGGGACCACATGCCTCTCAGCATGTGGTCCCAGTGGGTCAGTCTGGGTAGTAGCAGCGTTCCAACCAAGAGAATGAACAGAAGCAGGTGGGCATTTCAAGAACCAGGCTTGGAACTGGCACGTCATCCCTTCTGTGGCATTCGATGGTCCAAGCAAGTTGCAGGACAACCTAGAGTTGGAGAGGATGGAAATAGACTCTACTTCTTGAGAAAAGTCACATTGCAAAGGACGGGACATAAGAGATATGAGGGATTGTGGCCCTGTCTTGTATTGCCAAGTTGGGATAGTAACTCAAATCTCTTGACTCTATGTGCTAGGTACTGAGCTCCTCTTTGATCCCTTCTGCCCAACTCTCATTGACTTCCATTTCAGCCTCCTCTATAGTTCACTAAACCTAGGTGTGCCAGAAAACAGAAACAAAGCCTGCAACTACAATGGCCAAGGCCTCCTTACTGTAGAGTTTGGAGAAGCCATAGGAATAGGGATTTCTTATGGGTATACCGGCATTCCCCAATACCACTTGCCCTCAGCTACAACTTCCTGGAGGGCAGAGTCCCAAGGAACTTCCTCTCCATCTCCTCTCAGCAGAACTCGGATCCCAGGTCCAACTCTTTGTATCCATCTCACATTACGGGTAAGCTCTCCGCTGCTCCACAATCCTGGAGGGAAAGACAGCAGCCAATTTTCCAACAGTGAATAAGATAGCCCCTGGAGTCACTTTTGAAACACCACCAATGTGTTATGCCAACTTCTTTTCTGGGGGAGAACAAAAGCTATTTTTCTCTCTTTTCTTTCCCTGATGGAAAGAATCAAGACCCCCTTTTGAATCAACTTTCTCCCTCTCTGGCATGAAAAAAAAAATTTTTAAAAACAAATCTGTCAAAATTCCCACCCTGCCTTCCTTGTTACATTTTTTAATTCAGTTGGCTCCATGTGGGGGAGTCTTCTATTAATAGGTATACCAGGAGGCTTAGCAACTCTGGCAGAGGAGCACCTAGGAGAAAGCGGAGCAGGCTGACGTCGGAACAGTGAGCAGGAATCAAACCGGGCTTAATTAGGAAAACATGACTTCCCTATTAACGGCCCTGTCCGCGTGATGCTGCTGCTGGGGAAAAAAAATGCCAAGAAGCTTATTTGTTTTGCAATTATGGATGAAATAAAAAATTACTTGGTCTAATTAGACCTCTTTTACTAAAAGAAGCATGTAAAATAACCTCAGTTTCATTAGCAACTCAAAATGCACTACTCTGTGTGCTACATATGTTTAAGTGAAATGTGGAGGGTCAATTTGCTATGTAAATTTCCACAAATTTGGCTAAACTAAAACGATTAACCTAATGTGTATGCAAATTAACTTAATTGATAACGACTTTTCTCCAGGAACTTTAAAAGGGGGAAAAATATATTCTGATTCTAACAATCCTCCGAAGTGTTCCGTCACCCAATAACAAAATGATATCTTGACAAATTAAAGAGAATATAATGAAATCAGATTAATTAATGCCAAGACCAATTAGCACATGCAAAGAAACAAATCTCACTAATAGACAAATCCAGCAATAATTTGAATGAGATTTTTGAAAGCTTTCTCTGTTTGTCAGTGTGTGTATGCATGCCTGGCTGTGGGTGTGACTGTGTGTGTGTGTGTGTGTGTGTGTGTGTGTTTATGCGATGCCATCTTTGAAATGTTCCCTTTTATTTAGGCTCTAGAATGCTCAGGCTGAATAGACCATACAGTCTGAATCCTCTACTTTAACTGATCAGGTAACTGAGCCTCAGAAGGTGCCAAGTGGCAGGGCTACACTGGCACTACAACCCCTGTCTTTTCTCTACAGCACCCTGCCTGCCAGCAACCCCCACTGAGTCCCAGAGGCAGGGCCAGTATTGCTGGCAAGACCCTGACGGCCCGGGGACTGCCTGATCCTATAGTCTACATTGCAATATTTACCATATTAAAATGTGCTCTATATTAGAATATACCTATATATTTAAGAATTGAGGGGATTTTCATTTTGAGTCTCTTTTTCTTGACTCAGGCCACCTTTGTCACATCAAAAGCAATCACCAAAGCAAGCCACAGAGCTTCAGCTCCCAGGGAGAGCTGTTTTTCCTAACCCTCGTCCACAATGGGCTGACCTTGAACCCCTATGCAGTTAACAGTGAATTCTCCAGGCTAATCACTTGGCTTCAAGAGTTTCAGCCCATCTATTCCCTCTCCCTCCTCCCTTAACTAAGGACTCTGGGCTAACAGGCAGAGCTCCAGTTTGGGTTTTTATTTTTATTTATTTTTTTTTCATGTTATTCCAGATGGTTGTTACTGAAAGATTGAAGTCTGAATTGCTTCCAGTGGGATCCTCAGACAATGGCAGAGTGGAAGGAAAGGCAGCTCTAGATGGAACTTGGGCACCAGGGAGCAGTCAAACCCCAATCATGTAGACAGTGGCAACAGGAACACAAACAGAGCCTGTGGGGGATCATGCCATAGACTCCAGACTGGGGGTCTGCCCGTTATGACCAGCCCAAGGCCCTTGGATCCGTCACATGCCTGGATCTGGACAGGACTACAGCACAGCATGCTGGAGGCGTAAGAACAAGAGAATAGACAGTGGCTGGGGAGTCAGGAAATTCATCACCATGCTGCTGAACCCCTGATGTTGGCCAAGTCACTTCCCTCTGCTGGCTCTAAGCTCTCTCATCTGCAAGACAGGGAATGAATGGCATTACGTGCGTGCTAACAATCCCTCTAGAGTCTGGGTCTCAGTGTTTGGGGGATGGTTTTAGCCTCTAAAATAGCATCAATAGAGTTGGGAGGATTCCTGAATAAATAGATGTAAAGTACTTGGAACAGTATCTGGAATATAGCAAGTGATCAGTAAGTATAAATTCTAGCCTGCCAAGTGGCCCTTCGCTCCTGCTTGAGCACTTTAATGTGTAGATGGCTACAACAATGGTCCGAGGGAGGAGCTCTTCTGGGTAAAGTTTGCCGATTACCGTGGTGCAAAATGAATTCCACTGTAGCTAATTTCAAGCTACTAACATCCTGTAAAAGAGCTCCAGAGTTCCTGAAAGTTTGTTGGTTTTTGCAAGCTGGTAGGAGCCAGCTCCAGAGCCCCATGGAAATGTAATACATTTTTCTTCTATTTAAACAAGTATCTGACTGCTGTAGCTCTTGCAGGTATAGAAACTGGACATGAATTAAAGATACTGTACTTGGGACCATCCTCCCACCTGATACACTTTGGGGCGCTCACAAATTACCTCCCCATCTACCCTCTCTCACCTTCTCCCCCAACCCTCCCAGCAGAGCGATCTGTGTGTACTTGGGAAACATAAACTCACATTATCATTAATCTGAGCCAAGCATCATTGAGAAAGTAAATCTGCTGAAAAGAAACATTTATTCATTTTTAAATTTTGATGATGTGTCTATTCATCACTGCTGGGGATCGGCCACATCGTGTACTCCGGGGCGAGTCACCTCGTCCTCATTCCCGAGGTCCAGTGTAATTGACTCAGCCTCAGTTCTTATGGTCATGATCTATCTTGGGACTGCCTCACCTAGATCCTGAACTCGATGTTCCTCCCACTCCCAAAAAGTTGGTTATTTACCGACTGAAAACGGAGAATGGTAAGAAGAAAAATAAAACACCTTTCCCAGAGGGGGCCATAAAAGTCTCATGAAGTCATAAAGACAATTACTGGCAGGCCTGTATGGAATACCCTCCGTGAGTCATCTGTCTTTTGCTGGCAATAAAGGCACAAAGCAAATTAACCATGAGGGAGGCCCACTCACTTACCCTGTAATTAGACGGAGCTGCAAGATGCTTCCTTTCACACTTCATGTGGGAGGATCTGTTCTGGCTCCAGGTGGACCCGCTTGCTGGTCCAGCCAGGCCTGGGTTCTTCCTTTGGTCATTGCCCATATGATTCTGGGTCTGGAGCCTTTAGACAGTAGCAAGGAAGCAGCAGCAACTGTGGACCTCCCTGTAAGGCCCTTGCAGTCTATTTTGAGAGGTAAGCAGTACATAGAGAATCAGAGGAAATCATAGGCATCTAAGCTAATAGACATGCCTTTCTTTCCTCATCTTTCAACTCCTCCATTGTCTAACCACACTGAACAGGTTCCTTTTATTTTTATTTCTTTTGGTTTTTTTCCGGTACCAGGAATCGAACTCATGACCTTGTACTTGCCAGGCAGGCGCTGTGCCACTGAGCTAAATCCCCAGCCACTTGAACAGGTTCCTTTTCAAGTGCATCATCTGCCTGCTGGCCTCCACATCTTTGTAAGTGCTCTTCCTTTGGCCTGGATCTTGTCCCTATAAAGTTGAGACTTGGAGAAACAGTATAGACCCTATGCTTTCCAGGAAGCCTTCCGTGATACAGCCCTGAGCAGAGAACCCCCTTTCCTTGCAACCTTCTGTGTAAAACTTCTACCTAGCCCTTAGCATCGATGATGAACACTTGTCTCAAAGTCTTTGTCATCTCCCTGAACTGTGACTGTGAAGCAAGGAAAGATGAGCTTATCTTGGAATCCCAGTCCCTAGCCTACTCTTAATTCCAGCTTCCAGCACCATGCATTCACCCAGCTAGGTGTTCAATTACTTATTTTGGAAGAAAAAAAATCACAAAATGATAATAATATTGCAAACTGGATCTCTGATGGTTTTAGAGGAAGGGGTATGGGCTGGATATCTTCTTCAGGCAGCTATCCAAGGCAGGGACAGCAACTGAAATTCCAGGCCTGGTTCCTGCACTTGGCAGAGGTAATCCCCATCACTTCCCCATGGGAGATGAAAGGGCTCCACAAGACAACTCCCTGTGTCTCAGGACATACCTAAGATGCACAGCTCCCAGAGGGCAGAGTCACGCATGCAAATAAGCACTGGCCCACAAGCCCTATGCTGAAAATAAATCTGCTGGAAGCAAGATCAATTGTTGGTTAAAAATAAAGGTTGAGGCAGCATTGAATTTGTGGTTTCCTGAGCCCCATGCACAGGCAGCCAGAACTTGCTCTCCCAGGGCACTGTAGAGTGAGCTAAGGCAAGAGATCAGGGGAAGATGGAGAATGTACAGCTGGAATCTGACTCAGAGCCCCTTTGGGGCAGGGAGAAATAGATGGATAAGCTGCATCAGATGCAAGAGGCAGGATTTTAGCCACAGGGAAAATCGCCCTTTCCAAAATCCTATTGCCAAGTTTCCCCCAAGCTTCTTATCGGACCAGGAAGAAATCAAAGAAAGGCTTTTCAGTCATGCAACAAACATCTGCTTATTGAATGTCTACCATGTGCCAGACACTGCCTGGATGCTAAAGATACAGTGGTAAACAAAATAATCAAAGCCCTCATGGAGCTTATAGTCCAGGGGTGGTGGTGGGGAAGCAGGCACACAAAGAATTGATGACAGCTACAAAGAAGGATGACTCCACACTGAGAGTCTAGGAGAGGAAACTGCCCCAATGTGGAGGTCTGATAAGAGCCCGCTGAAAAGTAACATTGACATTAAGACCAATAGGGTAAGTGTCTGACCAGTTAGAGCAGTCAAAATAGGAAGAATGTTCCTGGGAAAGACAGCAGCCAGTGAAAATGTTTTGAGGCCCCAAGAAGCTCCAAAAGGAAGCCAGTTTGGCTCCAAGAAGGGTAGGAAGGAAGATGGGTGGTTGCTGAAACTTGGTGGCAATCATGTCATTTATAGACCGTGTCGCCTATTTGGATTCTCTCCGGCCTCAGGCTTTATGGGATGGCTGCATGCAGTTGTGGAGGCTGCATACTGCACGGGTGTCTGGCCAAGCGAGTGGATGGGGCTTGAGGTCCTACCTTCCACTGCATCCACCAAGTGGTGTGTCCTGGCACGGGGCTACATCGATCCCCCAAGAGAGGCCACCTTGATCACATTTTCACAAAGGTGTCATCTACTGGCCACGCCCACAGAACTGTATCCACCCAGAAAGTACGATTTCAAACTCACACAAAAATGCCTCTTCGCAAGTCATGAATGTTTTAGACTCTGAGGCCCATGCAGTTCTAACCTTCTACAAGTTCTTGGAAGAAGTGAGCAACTGTATTACAGTGGGAGACATTGAGGAAGTGGATCCAAAGCCAGAATACCTTCTGTCAAGTCAGCATTCTGTCTGGACCACCAAGCTGGCTCCCCCTCCGCATACTCCTTGCCCTTCGGACACAGTGAATGTGAGTGTGACGTGGGAACAGCCTGGCTGTGGAAGCCACAGTGAGGGCTGCCCTGGGCAGACAGTTTTTGTAGGTTGCACTGGCTCAAAGCCCCATGCTGTCATTTATTTTAGAGTCCTGCCCAGGGAGAGAGAGCCCTCAGGGAAGAGGCATTGTTTGCACAAAGTGTCTGTCATTGCCTGAGGCCGGCAGCTCACCTGGACTCTGTCCCCAGCTGGCTGGAGGTTGGAGTCCCAGCACAGGGAGGGAATGAGGACACTGTCAGATCCCATCCATCATGATGTCATGGGGGTCACTGCAGGCACAAGTGGCCCAGGGCTCAGCCTGCTGCCCAGGTACTCAGGAATAAAAGATGGCTTCTTCTGGTCTCTTGCTCCATGATCTCACCTAGCCACAGCGCAGTGCCAGCCTCTGTCCCACCTACATCACACCCCTAGTAACACATTCCAGAGCTCAAACTTCCAGCCCACACTGGCAGCCCAAGCACATCAAAACTGCCTTCCTGGTTTGGTTACTGGCACCACAATAATGACAGTTTCCATCAATCTACCAACTGTGGGGTACCATGCCAGGTGTGCAAAGCCAGGAAGGAATCCATGAAGAAGCAGATACAGCCTTGCCCTTGGGGTATGGCTGAAAAAATGTGTGACGTTTAGTACCTGTGTAATATGTGGAGCCTCAGTTGCCTTATCTGTAGAAAAAAAAAGTAGTAATTTTATTGCAAGGGATGCTGGGGAGAGAGAAATGAGACAGACATGGAAATAATATGGTTCCTGGTCCAAGTAAGTCCTCAATAAACTCGGACTGTGAACTGGGGATCATTGGCACTCCAGGTACTGAGCTATAGGACTTACAAACTATGCCTTTCAATGCTCAGCACCTCCAAACCAGGCAAGTATCATTTTACATCAGCGGAGAAAATGGAAAGCCAGATGTGTGCAGCTGTAAACCACTAAGCTGTATTGCCCTGGAGAGCTGGGACCCCATGGCCTCCACTTGCTTTCTGGGGCAGCATGTTTTTCACCCAGTTTCATGAAGCAACCCTTAGAGAGGGCCTCCACAGTGAACAAAGAGGACCCATTGCCTTGGAAATTTTTGGGCTTTCCAAGGAGTATCTAGGGCAGGAGTTGTTACTCTGGAAGGATTTTAGTCCCTGTTGGCCATTTACCTTGTCCACCTGTGAACCAATGGACAAGTAGGGGAAAGTCTAGAAGTGGAAAACTCTGGGATTTAGAGTCAAGAGTCTTGGGCCCCTACCAGTTAGCTATGTGACACTGGGCAAGGAAATGTCTCCAATATACACTTTCTCTACCTGTTAAGTGGGCTAGCATGATAGCTGCCTTCTCAAAGCTGCTCTAAGAATGCGTTTAGGTACTGTCTGTGAAAGTGAGCTTCCCCACTATACAGTGATATTCTATTGTGGGGAATTGTCTCACAGGACCAGGTTGAAAGTGGAGACAGAATTTCCTTGAAGAATGTTTCCACAAAGCTTTCAAAACGAGAGAGAGCAGGTGGTTGATAGGCAGGATGGTACAGCAGAGTGTTCCAGGCAGAAGACAGGTTGAGCAAAAGGAGAGGGAGAAAAAAGCAGGACCAGGCAGAACCCAGAGGGGCAAGAGCACTGCATACACTAAAAATATATAAGAGCCAGGCCGTGAAGCTGGTGCAGTTTGTATTCGCATTGGACAAACAAAGAAACTGAGTCACAGGGTAGCTATGGAAGTGAGTGGTCAGTGAGAGATCTGGTCCCAAGTCCATGCTCCTGATGACCCAGGTCCAATCTCAGGTAGTGGCTGTGAGGATGAAACCAAGAATGAGGCCTGCAGAGACCAGGCAGCTCATGGGCTAAAAAAATGAAGAAGCTGGGGAACTCCAGGGAATGAGCCCCCTGATAAAAACCAGTTGTCTCAAGTCCAACCCAGTGTTCCTGAGCCTTTCCCAGCTTTCATGGTGAAAGCCTTCCCAGCACACTTTGGCAGTGTCCCAGACTTCTGCACCCACAGGCTAGAGGGAGCAGTTCGGGCGAGGGTCAGGGAACAGATACCACTACTGCAGTGAAGATCTAGTGAGTGCCCTAGCTCCCTGTGAGTTTCTGGAGCTTGGGCCACTGTGGCTAAGTGTCCAGTAATCCCTCACTCTTACCCCTTGAGATGGTAGCCCTTGTGGAAGCTCCTCACTGTCTCTGCTGTTCAGGCTAAAAGGTGTGCCACCCTGCAGTGCCTCTGTGCACTTTTCCAAAGGGTGGGCCTCATCCTTCCCTTCTCCCTTACCTGGCGAGGGGGTCTGCAAACAAGAAGAGCCTGACAAAAAGTATATAGGCTTTACAGACAAACCAACATGGATTTTATTGCTTGCTTAGCCACTGACAAACTGTGTGACCTGGAGAAAATTCCTTCATCTCTCTGGGCTTCTGCATCCTGGTCTGTAAAGTGGGTGTAAATGATGCCCACCACAACGAACAGAAAACTTCAAGGTCAAAATATGATGGGTAAAAATCTACCCAAAGCCCTCTGTACATGCCAGCCCTCTTTCCCAAGCCTTCTCCTCAGACCAGTGATTACAGCAGCTGCTCAGTAGCATTTATTCTTTGCCCAGAGCACCAGTCCAGATAAAGACCAGCAGTCCCGGTGCTTGCCTCTAAAGGCCCAGGAAAATGGAGAAGTCTCCTAGCTATCCCCAAAGATCGCAGCTTCATCGCTAGCTCCCAGAGAAACCCTTTGATGTGGATGAGACCCTGGCCTGCAGCTTCATTGCTTATGAAGAAGGTGCTGAAAGATTTATGGTAGAGATCCATGTGGGATGTAGCAAGAGAAAGGCAAGCAGGAGAGCAAGAAAGTGCATGTGTCTGGGGACAGAGCAGCTGCAAGGAGTGATTACAGACCTGTCCATGTTAACAGAGACACCAGTAGGTTTCTGTGCACACAGGCCAGCCAGCCAGCGGGGAGCCAGCAGAGCCATAGACAGCTACGATAAACAAGGGCACTTAGCTGGGGTAGCTCATTGGACCTTCATGGCAATTCTGTGTAGGCAGATGAGGAAACTGAGACCAGAGGCTAACTAACTGGGCTGGTGTCATACATCATCACAGACTAAAAAAGAAGCCAGCATTTGTGTTAGGCCTTAAAAGATAGACAGGATCCCTACAGACAGGAAAGCAGCCCCTGGCCTTCTAGGCAGAGGCTGAGCATAGGCAGAGGGGTAAGATAAGCAAAGACAAAGAGAGTGAGAAATGCCCAGGTGTCGTATTAGAAGGCATTTCCAAAGCACACATCTTGGTAGGGAAAGAGCACGTATTAGGATTTCTCAGGGTCTAGTAAAGGCAAAAGAAATCTAAGACAATGAAGCTCAGAGATGGGGGCAGGAGATGAGAATTATAAAACCTGTGACCAAATGGTCTCTTCTGGGGAGGTGGTTGAAATTCCCCATGCCTGCCCTTCTGCTAACTCCTCACCCTAGGATTTGGTCGCCGTGCCCACCTGACTTTACCCTCTCCCCCACAGAATTGTCCCGTTGTCCAAGTACCTTGCTTCAAACAGGGTCCTCAGTCCTCTCCCATGTCCCCAAGCCTTCCTTCCACTTCTCTCCTCTGACTAAGCTTGCCTTCTCTCTCTTCACTTACAAAATGCAACTGGTCCCAAATGCATCCCAAGATGGTTTCAGGATTCAATGGAATGATCCAGAATACTGAGCCTCTGCTACATCCAGGCACTGGCTCACCTCAAGGACCCCACAGCAAACAGTACACAATCTTTGACTTCAGAGAGTTCTCAGGCCAGTGGGAAAGGCAGGCAAATCCATGGTCCACTTGAGCATGTTGATAACTTCCGCCTTGTAGTGGAGGATCAGGAAGTAGTTCCCACAGGAAGTGACACCAACGTTAAGAATTGAAGAATAAGGAGAACCCAGGAGAGGGGAAGGGTGTTCAAGGCAGAGGGGACGGCATTTACGAACGCTGGTGGCAGTGAAGATCATGAGGCAGAAGAAACTCTGCAGTTCAGTATGGATGAAGTATAGAATCACTGGGCGCAGGGAGCCCGGGCAAGCAGACACAAGCTAAGATAGAAAGCAGAGGCGACATTCCAAAGGTCCTTGACTTCACTACACGCTATGGACTCCTTGGGCAATCTGGCGAAGCCTTTGGATTACATCCCAGAATAGTATCTTTAAATGCATAAAATACAATAGATAGGATTACATAGGAAATAAATTTTATTGAAGTGCAGTTATGAAAATATTTTTTAAAAACTAATTTGAGATATAGTAATATATGAGGTTTTTATTAATGCATTAAATAATAAGTACTGGTGGCAGGTCTAATTACATAATTTTGAAGTAGTGCTGAGAGAAAACAGTATTTCAAGATAACTGTAATATGATATAAAAATACCTATGATTTTTATTGGTGACACAGTCACAGTTACTCCCAAAATTGCTGTGGATTAGATGCTCTGGATGTTGACTACATTCATAATTAAAGGAAATACTAAACTTCAGTTAGAGATTGATTAAAAGGAAGCCATTGTTTTCTCATCTGTGTTTATATTTCCTTATTTTAAGGACTTGTTAAGGAGTGTGTGCTTGAACTTGAGCTCCTACAAGGTCTTTACCATAACCATACCCTCCTCCCCAGTCCTCATACCCCACAATCTGCCCACTGGACCACTCAGCTATGTCAGCCCCCTTCATGTGTTTCCTGAACACACCAAGCATGCAGTTGCCTCAGGACCTTTGCTCATGCTGAGTTCTCTTCTTTGATTACTGTTCCCAGAAAAATATATGCAGACCCCTCTATCTCTCCATTCTTTTAGTACCCAGTTCAAATGTCATCTAATCAGAGAAACTTTCCCTGGCCATCCTGTTAAGTAGCTATACCCACTCTCCCCCAGTATCCATGCTCCTATACACTCCTTTATTTTTCTCAGTCATACTTAGACAATCTCAAGTTTGTATGATTTTGTGTGTTGTCTTTTTCTCCCCACCTCCACAAGAGTACAGACCTTGCCTATGTTGCTCAGTGCTTTGTCTCAGCCCCTGAAGCATGTCGTCACACAGTTCGCTACTAGGAGACTACTAGTTCTCAGCCCCTTGCACTTGCCCAAATCCTACGAAGGCCACATGAAGCTCCACAGCTCCATGAAGGCCTCCCCACACCCCAACCTCCTCTGGGGGGCCATGTTCAGAGAGACAAGCCTGCTGAGGATGGAAACCATGGAGATACGCCTTGCATTTCTGCCTGTCATTGTGCCCTGGAGCAGCCATTTGTGAAGAGGTAAAAATTCAGAGCAGCAGACCCAGAAGGTTGCCTGCATGGATAAAACCCATCTGCAGTAGGCTCAATAGTGGCCCCAAAATACATGCCACACTACCATCCCTATAGCTTCTGAATGTGAACTTATTTGGAAAAAGGGTCTTTGCAGATATACAGTAAATCCGCAATGTACAAACATTCAAGTTGTGAACTTTCAAAGGTGTACTGTATAATACTGACTTTGTCAAACATGAATGAATCCAACTTACAAATGTTCTCCTGGAACAGCACTTGTTCATAAGTTGGGGACTTACTGTAATCAAGTTAAGAAATCTGAGATGAGGAGTCATCCTGGATTATCAGTGTGAGCCCCCTATACCATCACAGTGTCCTTATAGGAAAGGCAAAGAGGGGTGACACAAACACACAGAGGAGAAAGCTATGTGAAGATGGGGTAGAAAACAAAATGATGAGGCCACAAGCCAAGGAATGCCAGGAGTCACCAGCAGTGGAAGAGACAGGGAGTAGATTCTCCCCTATAGCCCCCAGAAGGAACATGGTCCCGGCAAATTTTAGATTTTTGATCTCCAGAAATATGAGAGATTAATTGTCTATTGCTTTAAGCCACTCATTTGTGGTTATTTGTTATAGCAGCCACAGGAAACTAAGGAACTAAATCTAGCTTCTTTGGGGCAAACACAGGCCTAAACCTGGAGCTTTTGTTTCCCCCCAATGAAAGCAGAAATTCAAACTGTGATGTGAAATCTCCTGATTTCTAAGAGCAGTAGTCTGGGTTATTGCAAGCATGGAAGCCAATTCTAGTTTGTAATAAGTACTTTATGGGAAGGACTTTGATGAGCTCACAGAATTGGAGAGAATGCCAAAGAACAAAACATGGAAATAGACAGACCCAAGGCATCCAGGTCTTACCATTCCCAGACCACACTGACATCCACTCAGGACACTAATGCCACCCGTATGCATGACCACATCAGGGACAACCACGAAATGCCAACACTGAGGTCACATAAAGATCATGTGGCCAAGTGAGCTTCAAACCCAGCAGGGATGGAATGCATCAGGGATGCTCTGTGATAAGGCCCCTACATGGGTGCTGGATTCCTGATGCATGCAGACACTTCAAGCATATTGTTTGGAACCTGCATTTTACATCACAGATCAGCACATAAAACTTGGAGAATACTTACCTTGCTGGGTGAGATGAAGTGTGACACTTTCCTCTTCCCTCCTCCCTACTCCCCTCCTCTTCCTCCTCTTCCCTCTTTCCTCTTCTCTCTTTTCCCTTTTTTTTTCTTCTTTCTTTTCTTCCTCTCTCCTTTGGTTTCTTCTCTTCTCTATTCTATTTCATCCCATTGCATTCCCATTCTACTGGATCCTACTTTTTTCATTCCACCTTTATTCTGAGTGATGTTTATGTATGAAAGTGAGAGAAAGTTATGCCATACATTGAAAGACTTAGAAAATGCACTATTTAAGGGCTGGGGCCATAGTTTAGCAGTGCAGTGCCTGCCCAGCAAGCACAAGGTCCTGAGCTCCACCCCTAGTACCAAAAAAAATTACTTAGAGCCAAGAGTGGTAGTACACATACTTAACCTCAGCACTAAGGTGGGGGAATTACAAATTCAAGTCCCACTTTGGTGACTTAGCAACTTGGAGAGACCCTACTCAAAATAAAACAAAAGTTTAAACAAGAACTGAGAGTGTAGCTCAGTGCAAAGGCCATGAGTTCAATTCACAGTATTAAAAAAAAAAAAAAAAACTTAAAGACAGATTTTCTCCCAAATAAAAATTTAAGCATAGGCTATGTGGGGTTTCTTGCAAATTGATTTCAAGACCCGCTAAGGGGTCATAAACCATAGTTTCAAAAGCACTGCCCTAAAGCAACCAATGCAATTAAAAAAAGAGGCAACCAACTGTATTTGGGACAAATGAAGAATGTCTTTGAGCTGAGCGCAGCCCATGGACTGCCAGTTTATGGCTTTTTCATTAAAAGCATGATACATTCACTGATGAATGGACTGATTGATTCAAGTGCAGCAAGGGAGTACGTTGGAAGAGCCTCTTCAGCTTGGATTTTTAATGACAACATTAAGCATCCAGCTCTAAGACCTAATCCAGAGGCAGGCACACAATAAGTGCTCAATAAACACTTAAGTGTAACTAAAAACTGATGATTTTCTTCAGTTTCCTTGTTCCTGGCTGGTGCCATGGGAGATGGGGTGTGGCAGTGGAGATTAAGGGATCCACACACACATAGGACCTGGGCGTTGCAGTCTTCCACGCCCCACTCCTGTCTGCCTGTCCCGTTTGGGGTCCACTCATCACCATTCACATCAACATCCAGACAGGTGAGGCTTTGCTTTCACATCAACCAGCCGGCTGTCCCACCCGCTCTCCTCTCGCGCTTGGCGGTGCTATTCGTTAAACTGCCAGAACGTACACCATAGGGCTATAGGATGCCACGGGGGAAGAGATGGAAAAGGAGGAGAGGAAAAGAGGCACTTTTTCAACTTTGCCTCTAATATCTTCGTTAATTGAACTCATCAGCTAAAATCATTTGTGGAAATAAAAAAAAAAAAGGAGAGCGAAAAGGAACTGATCATATGCGGGAGAAATAACTCAGATGTGAAAATCCTTCAGACTAGGAGATTGCACTATTTATTCACCCAAGTGTCCTGCTGTGTCTCTGAAATGCAGTGATTTAATGAGGTGCTGCAAAGGTATTTGTTATTAAGAAATTCTGTCTCTGCTTATTCTCCATGTGATTAGGACGGGGCCCGGCGGAAGCTCCTAACCGGCACGCTATTAAAGATTTAGGAGGCTGCTGCTCTCCCCGTTGCCCCCCCTCTCACAAACGCCTTTTGAAATGGTTCCAAAATTAAATATTGTACAAGCCGATCAGCCTTGTTTAACGCAGATGCTGAGTGAGATTTAAAAAGAAATTAGAAAAGCATTTGTGTTAACAGATGTTCTTCCTTCTCTCTCTTGGAGCTGAGATGATTGGGGTTGGGTCCCTCCCGAGCCAGGCAGAAGCCAAAAGGGAGGCGCCCCAAGTTGATGGGGAGAGGGGCCGAGTAGGTCAGAGGATCCTGGAAGAGGCAGCTGGTCCTCTCTTTCTCTGTTAGTGAGGCCCAGGAGACCCTGAAGGAAGTGGCAAAGCAAGCTGCGGGCCTGGTGGGCATTTCCCCAAAGCTCCCAGATCCTGCTGGAGCCTCTCCCAAGGCAAGTGCGTTTAGCAGGTGTTCACTGGAAATCTGCAGCCATGCTAACTCCGTTGCCCATAGTGGCGGGGAAATCAGCAAAGAAGCAGTTTTCTCTATCCCCAGACTCATTCGGCCATCAGCCCTGGCAATCAACAAGTCCTCCTGAGATCTCTAATCCAGTCGCTTCATACAGACAAGACCAGCTCTGATCCAGCTCCTCAACAGGTTGGACACCCCACTTCCTGACACACTGGTGCTATTTCCTTCCTTTAACTCTAGCTCTGATGTCTACCAGGGCTAACTCTTGGTAAGTTCTGGCCATATCTTAGATCTTTCTTGAATACACTGTTTTCTCTGTTGAATCAAAATAAATGGGGCCGTCTTTCCTATGAATAAAATCATTGGAGTGTCCGGCACGTTGGGCACATTGCACCTGCTCTGGAGATGGACCTCATGGCCTCCTTTGAGGAGCAAAGCTTAGTAGCTGCATTATGAGTAAGGGCTGGATATAGAGCTAGGGACAGGGCACTTGAAACTCACCCAACTACCCCATGTGATAGGCTTCACATGCTGAGGAGCATTGCAGTGGTCTTTGTGGATTTATTCTTGCTTGTTGTTGGTGAGACACCAGAGTCAAAGTGATTTTTCATGATCCCCTAGGGCAACACAGACAGCATCAGAAGAGGAGCTGCCTCCCATGAGTCCAACTGAGTGTTTTTTTCTGTCAGTCAGTCAATAACTCTGTCCACAAAATGTATCCAGCCTCTAAGCAAGACACTGAGGATTCAGGAGGAACAAACTGGACCCTCATGGAGGTCCCCATCTGTCAGAGGATGCACACACTAGGCATGTTATTGCAGATAAGTGAATACTGTGCAGAGGACTTCCAAAAGAAACTATGGGGGCTCAGGGGAATAAATGAGGACAGAAATGACCCCAAGGTAAGGCAAGTGAGCAAGCAATGTTTTTTTACCACAGTGAACAAACCAAATACAGATCACATTAGGGGTGGGTCTGTTGCTGGCCCTCCTTTCTAGCCTGGGACATCTTTGCCACTCCAACTAGCTCCTCGATCCCTCCTGGCATCCTTGCCCCATTAGCTGTTGGGCATCACCCTTCTTGTCTTATCCCCAGCCTGACACCCAGAGGACGGAATGATAACCCCTACCCCACATCACTACCAGAGGATCCATTCTTTTCTCTGAGCTCTCAATCTTGCATAGAAGTTCCAGAAGCAAGCAAAAATGAGAACCAGGTCACTTTCTAAAGTGCAGTCTTGGAAACAGCCATGGCCAAACACCACAAAGAACACTCCAAACAGGTGACTAAGTCTAGAGGTCCTCCCTGGAGGCCAGCAAGACCCTTCTAGGCTCTCCTTCTTTTACCTTAGCAAGTTCTAGTACTAGTGCCCAAGGCACAGAGGTATTAAATGACAATGTGACTCTCAAACTTCTACCTGTGGTTTCTTCCTCTGGATCACCTCTTCCTCTCAATCACTCCCTTCTTCAAAGACCTCCTCTGGGAGCTCTTCTACAATCCTCCACCCTGGCAAAACCAATCAACCCTCCCCTTCATGCCGTCTGCCTCACCCTTTAGTTAGTTGTCGACATATCTGCATTCTTCTCTAGACAGTAAATTCTTTAAGGGGGGAACTGTGTCCTATCATTTGTATCCTCCTTACACAAAGGCCTTTCATGGTGCTTTGAACATAATATGGATTCAAAGTCTTTAGCTGGCAAAACAATAGTAGCACACATGAACTAGATAGACAGTCATATCATACATCTATTGCAGAGAGGCAAAACAGCATTATTCCAGGAGTCAGAAAGGCAGGATACTGACCCCAGCTCAGGCATTCAGGGCAAAACTGGGCCTCCGTGTTTTCATCTACAAATGCAGGTGGCTGGATTCAACTATCTCTAAACTGCTTCTCCAATTTGCACATTCAGTTTCTCTCATTCCAAGCCCCTAATTCCTGCAGGCTTTCAAAGAGACAGCCCTGGCTCTACCTTACTTGAAGAACTGACACATGAGCAAAATCACCCCTGCATGCTTTTTCAACCTGGAACAGAGCTGGAAAAGTAAGGACACTGGGAGTAGAAGTCCCCTTTCTTTTCTTAAAAAAGTATATTTTGCACAGATACATACAGACACATTGGTGCACACACATACATCACCTCCACCTTTGTCTACCTTATACTCTGAGAAATCCAGGAAGCCACCAAGGATACACCAACAATGTCCTTGGACCAAAATGAACTAGGATGAAAAACTTCTAGGATTATATTTTTAAAAATCCCATTGTGCAAACTCTTTCAGAGCTAAGGTTCCCTGCTTTTATCTAAAGAAGGACCAAAAACACCAAAGTTTGTTTTTCTACTAGCGAAGACTTAATGCTTCAACTGCCCCCTGTGCTGAGAATTCCTAAACTGAAGACTGGGAGGTACGGTGTTAGCAACTAGTTTAGACACAAACTGTTTAGAGTCAAGGCTGCTAGTTGCATCCTCATTGCCTCTGTCCCTTGTTTTCTTCAAAAGTAGAATCCTGATTTTAAACTAAGCACCTACCTCAAAGATGACATTTTCCAGTCTCTCATGTGACTAATTTGGTCATAGACTATAACATGGTCAGTAAGACAAAAGTATTGTGTGAGACCTCCAAAAAAATTCCTTAAAAGGAAGAGCCCCCTACTTATAACTACTAGATGCAAGAGCTGGCACTGCAGGAGTAAACATGGGGAGGAAGCACACATAACAAAATCCCATGACAGAAAGAGTTTTGATTGGTCCCTAACACTATGAAGCTGCCATATTTTCTTCAAAATGCCCTCAGTGTTGCCTCCAGAGCTGGAGTCTTCAGCTGGTCAATCCCAAGTTACGCAGACATCTTGAAGTGTTGAAAAGGTATCTACTTGAGAAATTGAAGGTATCTTTGAGACTATGAATTCATTTCCCTTTCCACCTGGACTCATTTTCTAAATAATGAAGCTCAGGCCAGAAAATTAAGAGACTGGCCCCAGGTCACAGCCAACTCTGTTGAAGCAAAACCAATTCCTAGGACACCAGACTGGGGGCTCTTGGGTCTTCCATTAGAGAGTTGGCTGTGACACTGAGGGCATTTTGCAGCACCAGGCTTCCCATGAACACTGCTAGGCAAGAGCACAACAGGGCCACTCAAGAAACCCAAGACCTTAGACTTCAGAGTCAGATAACTTGACTTCAAATGCCAGTGCCATGATCTACTGACTCCAGGACTTTGGATAAGTCACTAGTTCTTACCCTTAAAATGGGACAAACAATACCTATCACAGGGATGTTTGGGTCAGTTCAAAAACCTGTAAACATCAAGCTCTCCCAGGGCACCACAGTGACACAGTTAATCTATGTAGATTGTGCCAAAGCAAACTAGATGCCTGGAGAAAAGGCCAGACACACTAGGCAAACGTTCTCTGTCTTCATGGGTCCCCAGGAAGAGTACCACTATCCCCACTGGGCCCACACTAAACCACGGTAATAAAGACAGCCTGAGTTTCATTTCTCTCCACAATGGAAATGAAGGAGGGAATCACAAAGAAAGAGAGAGAAAACTGAGGACCTAAGATTTGGGTTTGTGAGCACTTCAGCAAGAAAACAAATATCTTTATTGGCTCTGGACAGTCTGCCAATCAGCCACGAAATTACCAGCTTCTCTCTCCTCCCAGAAGGGCCTCCAAGGCTGCACACAAAAGCTGCCAATGGAACTTCGGGACCTAGAGAATAAAAGCCCCTCTCTGCCGAGCACAGGCTGATTTGCAATGCATTGCTTTAGCATAATTTCCCAACTCTGCCGCCACACAAAAGCGTTTCTGTCCCTATCTGCGAGTTTAATAATTTCTATTTCCTACACCTTGCATTCAGAATGCATCCTCCCAACATGGGTGTGGGCTGGGCACCGGCCTCAGGCCTCAGGCATGTCAGCTGCCACCTCAGGAGCCCCAGGCTGGAAAACCATTTATTAGACCGTTTTAACCTCTTCCAAGGACGCAGCAACAGAAAACAGGATGCCCGACCTGTTGAAAATGTACCTCTTGTGCCTACCTTGACCTTTACAGCCCGTCTTCCACTGCATTAATTAATTTATCCCACACAGCACCTACTAGGTTGTGGACATTGTTCCAAGCATTCTAAGACCTGCTTTCTTATCACCACTTGCACAGTACCAATGAGATGACGTATATACAGTCGTGCACTACTTGACAATGGGACAGGTCCTGAGAAATGCCTCACTAGGCGATCTCATCACTGTGCACACATCATAGGGTAGATTCAGGTAAACTAAGATGGCTACAAAGCTACTAGACAACATGACCTTAAGTTACCTTTGTAGATACATTTCATCATTGATGGAAATGCTGATTGCAGCACCTGCTGATATGCACCACCATACTGAAACCAAGTTTCAGTATGCGAAGTGTACTTGACCATAAGTCTTGGTGTCATGTCTGTTTGGATTCATTCTTGTAACATGTAGGACTTGATGGCATCTGAACATAATATGTGCTCGATTAAAGTTGATGAATCTTGAGTGAAAAAATAAATGAATGCCAAGACCTATAAGTGTAATGAAAAGCAATTTGGTTAGATTTAGTGAAGAGGGGAGCAAGGGAGAAGCTTATGTTACAGAAGCCCTAAAATCAAGTAACTGTGGAGTTGGCCCTGAAGGAGTGTAGACATTTCATAGAGATAAGGGGGCTGAAAAAACCAACTCTCACCAGAGCAAAGAGCCCTCTGCAGAGGTAAGGAGACGATGGAGAATGCGGGGCCCTGAAGCTGCTGAGGTCTAGGCTTGGGAATAAGAAGGCAGGCTACAAAAGTAGGTCAGTACCAAAGGTCTCAGGCCTTGATCATGTCAGATCAGGAACAGGAGAGAGTCAGGCAAACCCATACTTCCAGCTCCATCACTTATCGGCCGTGTGACCTTGGTCAAGATCCCTAGCACACCGAACCTCAGCTTCCTCCTCTGTAGATGGTGGCTGGTGAAGGGCTTACCTTCCAGATCTGTTGTGAAGACTCACATGCAGTTTGAAGAGCAGTACCAAGCGTAGCAGACTTGTAGGTTTCAGGTAGAAGCTGGAACCTGCTTTCACCAGGAGCCTGACAGTTTTCATTCAGGTTTGTGTTAGTCAAGGTTCTCCAGAGAAGCAGGACCAATAGGATATATAAAGAGCTATGAAGAAGGAGATTTATTATGAGGGACCAGCTCACGTGATTATAGAGGTTGAGAAGTCTCACCACCTGCCTCCTGTACTGTGGGCCCCAGGAAAGCTGGTGGTGAAGCATCAGGCCAAGGCCAAAAGCCCAAAAACAGGGAGGCTGATGGTGGAAGGCCCATTGTGAGTCTGGAAGCCCCAAAACCATGAGCACTGATGTTCAAGGCAAGAGGAGACCTGTACCCCAGCTCACATAGAAAACAAATTCACAAATTCACTTCTCCTGTCTTTTAGCAAACACCAGCAAGATCTGCCACCACATCTGCGGCCCTCCAGGAAGAAGTGCTAGCCCAGCCAAAGGCAAGGCATCAGGCACAAAGCTCTGAGCAAACTAAGTGCCGGTGGACACACGGCAGAGAAAAGTTAGGTGGGGGCCGTTCAATGGCTGCGGGAGAGCTTGTCCTAGCGGGAAGCCCACACTTTCTTTCTCTCTTTGCTCTTTGTTGCACAGACTCCTTCCTTGCAACAGTGAGGAGGGAGACCCCCTCTTCTCACCTTTCTCTTCTCATCCACCAGCCGTATCATAGATGGCTTTCTGTGATCCCACTGAACTCTTCGTATCTTTGCATCCCCAGGGCATCTATCCAACTGCTGAGCCCAGACTAAAATTTTGAAGGTCAAGTCTGGAAGGGACACTGTCCCTATCCTTATAGTACAGAAGGGAAGACCAAGGCTCAGAAAGGTCATGTGACCTGCTGACATTATACACTGAATCAGTGGTGGAGTCAGTGGGCACTGAGAACCTGGTTGCTGGGTGACTGTCTCTGCCTGTATCTATTAGAAAGCTTCTAGCTAGAAGTAAGAAAATGCCCAACACAAAAGGGCTTAAGAATGAGAACCTTATTATCTGATATAATCAAAAACCCTGCTAATTCAATCAGTAGCAAGATCCTAGCCTCCTTCCTCCTGCTCTGCCATCTGCGATATGTTAGCAATTGTCCCTAAGTTTGTCAGCTCCTGCTAGCAGAGTGGCTGCAGAGCTTTAAACCTCATGATCTAACCCAATAACACCTCTCAAAACTTAGAATGTCCTTCTTTTGTGCCGGATTTAGGTGAGAACTCTTCCAAGACTCCTCTCTACAGGCTCTGCGGTGCCTCACTGGTTAGAATTACAAGTAGTATTAATGTTATTGGCTGGCTCAGGAGAAGGCAGCTTTGGCTGAGGGGCAGCAGTGTAGGAGAGCTGGA